GCCTAAACCAAAGCAATTTTCAACCGTCTAGGATCGGTTAATTTGTACCATACTCGTCTAGGAAGACAAAAGCATTGCTTGTATGTCGGCGCCTCACCGCAATTCACTGTATAGGCCACATACAGTTTAACATCCTTGCACCTCTATAGCTTGTAGAATGCACACAATACATAGAATAGTAAATTCTTGAAGGGTAAAATATTCCGGCGTTTCAAAAGTTGCTATCTCTAAGCTTCATTCCAACTTGTTTTTCATGTGTATTTTCGAAGCTCTTGATACTACACTTTATTGGTTAGATTTCTTCACACCTTAACTTTACAATACATAGTTGCAAGCAATCAGACAACAATCAGTTACTACATAGAACACATCGGATCCTATCAAACCAACCAGAAACGTTGGGAAGAGGGGAGTGGACCGACTGGCGTGGAACTTGAAAGAGAATGGGACATCGCTCTCGTCCTGAGGCGACGGAGTGTTACCATTCAATCAGTCTCAGGGGGTCACGCATCTCCTCCTTTGCGTTGATCGTCGTCCGGCGCGATACGGTATATTTCCCGTGCTTCCATGTTTGTTCTTTCCGGAGGCCGTACCAAATATCTATGCAAAACTCTCACACCGAAAGATATAGCGTTCTCCTTCTCATGCTTGAGTGTACCGTGCCTGGAAAAGCTGCTGTAAGGGTAGGCGTATTTTGGCGTTAATCAATCCCATCTGAGAGGTGCGCCCCCGCGTTCGGCTTCCATTCAGAATCGTAGTGGCGAATTGATTACGTATGTGGCCTATACAATGACTTGCGGTGGTCAGCCGATGTACAAGTCAGTGCTTTTATGCTCACGGACGAGTTTGGTACCCCCATAAAAGTGGAGGGCATGGTTGGCTTAAGTGGATATCGATCGAGGACTCGAGCTCGCGACAGTGCCACACACCATCTCCGTCCCAATAGAATAATATTTTGTTGTAACTAGCTGCATGGAAAACTTTATTGTAAGTAGCAGAGACGAGGAAAAATTTGAGTCAGCGTGCTAACGAGTTAGCAAGTCCGTAGGAAGACGAGTACGGTGTGGAGTCGGATAGGTCAGCTGCGGCTATGGCAGGGAGTTGCTTGACGACGTATGACGAAGCATTTTATACGGTGCTCGCGAAGAGGCCCTATCTCGTCCGAGGATACTTACGTTTTTGCCAAGATAGAGTTGTTCCTAGATGGTAATTATAGTCTATCGATCGGTTGGAAAAGCTCGCGAGCTTACAATACGCACCGATAAGCCGCTGCGATTCTCACTGGGAGCCGAATGCGGGCGCATCCCTAAGATAGATTGATTAGAAAAGTCTATTTGTCCTTCTTGAGATAGATTCCCACTTTGTCTTTCTATTATACAAACCAATGAATTTGGTGCGCATGTTTGTCAATGTGTCAATATGTCGCTGGGTTTATACGTCTCCAAAATGTCACTTAGGCACAGTAAAGTAAGTGAAATGAAAGCCAAACGTCTAAACGTTTGAAGAGTTGGAAGACAAGAGTTGGAAACTAATAGTTGTGCTACCAATCTATTGATAGGAACTTTGCAACGAAACCAGTTGAGAATCAAAATCTCAATCTTTACCATTTCAGTTACGGGACGTTCCGATTCGCTCTAATCCCATAACGCTCAAACCTTCAGAAAATGAGCAGGTGGGTACATTCAACCATTGAGAGCGGTCAATGACGATTAATTGAAATCGACTAATACTTCTCCGGAATACTCCCTAAACTGTCTTACCCTAACCACAAAATAGTAAAACTTCCAAATGGGAGATCCACGAGCCAAACCTCCACACTTTTCATCTGTAAACAATCCCTATTCGACAATGGACAGATCAAACTTCGAGATAATGTGGGAAGGGGGTCGAAAAATCTCACGACATTTGTTTACCTTTTTGTTACATTACTTTGAAGTCCACTTCTCTGATCGTAAAGAGCCAAAACATGAGCACATGAGAGAGGTGAAACAAGTCCAGAAGTTGGCGACCAAATCAGGGAGAATCAAGTATACAAAAGGGAATCTTCTGCTGCTGATGGGAAATCAGTTTGGAATGCGTAAAAAGTTCTTGGTCGCTTTTTGATTTCCTTTCTCTCCTAGCACTGATCCCGTGCCGTCGCAATTTCCGCTTCTCTCGCCAGTCATCGTCAAGTCGTTCCTTTGGATTTATGGCCGGCAACTTTTGCCGTCTATTTAATTTCTAAGCAGAACGTCTTGATCCTGTTCCACCAATTTCCATGAGACTACTCGCAATCGTTTCTCTAGAGCTTTGAATTCAACGGCTTCTCCAACCGGTTAATCTCGCGTTCGCAAGCCAACCCATACCATCATGAATGCTCCTCTCTCATCTTCAACTGGATAGGGGCTGTTTGCACGACCTTTCTGACGTTTTGATCTCTGTTTCGATCCCGTCCTATCTAACTACGAACCCAACTAGACCTCATGCTGCTGAGTAAAGTTCTCCCTCATGGCTTCTTTATACTGGCCACCATTTGTTGCCTTCGCTTTTGTCCTCCAGGAGCACCGTCGATACAATGGTCTATCGAGATTTTTTTTCAATCTATATCTAGTTTATCTTTATCTACTCCTTATGTTATATTATAGTTATACTAGTCGGATCCCCCAGCTAGCGCTGGGCTTCATTACTTCTTATGGCAGAGTTGTAATAATCGACAAACCGCCCGCTCCTTATAAATAATGCCTTCGGAGCACGAACTTTGACAGAGGACTAACAGGACCTGCAAATGGTATTCAGTATGTGCCGATGCTTGTGTCTATGATTAGAAGCCTCGATCTTTTGCCGTACATGTTAGAGTTTGAAAGTTCAGCCGGTGGGCGACCAAAGCCTCGAATTGTATTCACAAATGTTGTCGAGTCAGTATAACACCATTATCAAATGTCTTAACAATGAAGCTTCCTTTTTCTGTGAATATGTCATGAGATGAGAATCCAGTAATATCAGCGGGGGGATGGGTTTTGTTAAGAATGACATGGAAGCAAGGTGAAACCGTGATCCCTGATTGAGTCGCGAGCTCTGTGGGGCAGCGGTCGTAGTTCAGTTTGAAGAAATGAACCAATTTTTATCTTCTCATAATTCAGGCCCCTAATCGGTCCCTATCACGGCACTTACCCTTCTTGTCGAATGAAAAATATCAAAGAGTCGAAGTTGGATCGTAAATAACAAAGGCATTATGATTAAATTGCTGACTGTTCTCTGCTCTCAAAGGCCTCTCCTGTCGTCAATGTTCCCATCCTGCCGCGCCGCAGCACGCCCACCAATTTTGAGCGCTTTAGGTACACGGGGACAGGAATTATGAATTCCCGTGCGAGCCACAGACAGACAGACAGACAGGGCTGGCGCTTTTTGTGTAGTAAGGATATTTTATTGATATCGCATTGGTATGCTTATAAACATCTCTAACATTAGTATAACTTGCCATAGGCTGGTTTTTCTCAACGAAAGAATTTATTGTCATGATTTGATTAACTGTGCTATAGTATCTCATTGAAAGGCCAATTATTATAAGTAATGACAGACTATACGTTTTATTCCAATATACTCCATTTTCCTGGTTAAGTAGGAATGTGATATAAGATAGCAGATCAAAAGTTTTATTTTCTTTTTTTCGAAATTTCCCTTGCGAAGATGGATTAGTCTGTTACTCCCAGTATTACGTACGTTTCCGAGAACCTATAATATTGCGTCGGTTACTGCTAACTTTTCATGCTAACAAGAATTTGATAAGTAATCGCTTCTTTCGTTACAAAAGGAATGGATCTGCTGTTCCTTCCAATCGAATCTAGGACAATTATACCCCTACCGTGTTCATGGAGCTGCATATTGTATTTCTCCTTCTATGGGTATGGGTATCTATGGACTCGTTAAGTAATGTAATTATCATCCGTATAAAGCTTCATGTTTAACATCACTCATTAAAATTGTCACTTCTGCTTTAATTTCGAAATATACTATTAAGTGTCTTCTTTGACGTTCCTCACTTTTTGCAAATAATTGCCGATGTAATATGTGTTGTCAATCGGAGATCGGTACATTTGATCAGTGACCATGCCCACATACACACATTCACAAATGCATATACATGCCACCACATACAGGTATGTGTATAAGGGCAGGATATGTCCAAAGATCG